GTCCCACACCTGCCCGGCCGCCCGCCTGCTGCCCGCCCCACTGTGCGCACGCTGCCCACCCCACTGTGTGCACGCCACCTCTGTCCTCCTTCATCTGAACTTACTGTGTGGCAAGAAACCCCCGGATGCTGTTGTCGCACACACTCAGGATTCTCTCTCTCTCTTCCTCCCTCCCTCCCTCTCCCTCTCCGTCTTTCTCTCTCTCTCCCCCGCTCTCTCTCTCATACACACACACACACACACACATACACACACTCATGATACTATTGTCTCTCTCACACACACTCAGAATACTCTTCTCTCTCTCTCTCTCTCTCACTCACAAACACACACACACACCGGCAGCCAGGTGTCCTGCCCTGGGCTGACAGCAGAGGGTGGCCGACTCTGGGTTCACCCTGAGGACAGGTGGGGACAGCTGCCAGGCCACCCCCTCTGGCCATGCCCAAAGCCTTCTGGGTCCCTGCGTGTGACCCCGTGGGACGGGGGGTGGGCCTGCGGGAGGGAGTGACCGGCCCGTGTGCGGCTGTCCCCTCAGTTCCTGATCCACTGCGAGGGCACGCGCTTCACGGAGAAGAAGCACCAGATCAGCATGCAGGTGGCCCAGGCCAAGGGGCTGCCCAGCCTCAAGCACCACCTGCTGCCGCGCACCAAGGGCTTCGCCGTCACCGTGCGGAGCCTGAGAAATGTAGGTAAGGAAGCTCCAGGCCCGCCCCTACCCCCATCCCCTGCGAGGGAAGCGCCCGCACCCGACACGCACAGCTGTGCCCTTGGCCGAGCCTCCAGCTCACGGTGGCAGAGGGTGGGAGGGGAGGGGACAAGGACGCACCTCCCTGGTGGCCAGGGACCAGGCACCTGGTGTGGGCGGTGTGGCCACTGCCTGCATGCCTGAGCACACAGACTCTCTCTCTCTCTCTCTCTCTGTGGCGCTGCCTGCATGCCTGAGCACACAGACTCTCTCTCTCTCTCTCTCTCTGTGGCGCTGCCTGCATGCCTGAGCACACAGACTCTCTCTCTCTCTCTCTCTCTGTGGCGCTGCCTGCATGCCTGAGCACACAGACTCTCTCTCTCTCTCTCTCTCTGTGGCGCTGCCTGCATGCCTGAGCACACAGACTCTCTCTCTCTCTCTCTCTCTCTCTCTCTCTCTCTCT